TGTGGCCCTATAAAAAGAAGACTCCAAAACGACATGTGCAAATTGTAATTGTGTTCTTCTGTTTTTTTGTTTTTGTTTTAATGTTTTGTTGCTTGTCAGAGATTTTGGGGCATTAGGCGTCCCCCCCCTCCACCTTTTGTATATTGTGGCGTAACCGGGCTCTGCCGGGGTAGCGTTCTGCCTTGCAGTCTGTCAAAACCGGTCCACGCTCTCGACAATCATCATCAACTATATCTCTCAGTGGGCTCTCACAAAAGTTATCGTGTAAGAAATAACGTGGATTAGCTCTCATTCACTTACTCCCGCAATCACAGAATATCTGACAGGACTAAAGAAATAACACTTACAGAGTGTTGGCAGTTTGGGTAACTTTATATAGTTTCTTGTACCTGTCGCAACGACAGCTCAACATTGACTGACCGACATCTTACGATGTCCATGCACATATATATTTCACAATTATCAGAAACGCCCTCTATGTCTTACTAACTTACTGGACTAGTTATGCTACACAGCCCCTCCCCAAGTGTGGACAGTCCTCGGACCACCCTTTGGCCAAACACGATGATATGTCATCGGAATAATCTTTCGAAAAAAAGTATACAAATACTTAAAAACTCCTTAAACTACATATAAAAACTAAGAAATAAGAACAAATGATCTATGTACAATATTAGAGAAAGAACAAAAGAGGAGTAGGGAGAAATGGGAAGGTTTAGGAAAGAAAAGGTGCGGAAGGAATAGGACCAGAAATTCTGAAGTAAAGGAATACATGGAATAAACACAAGGCATAGGTGTATCAAGGCGTACATAAAAATGTTTCACTAACACACAAAATATATGCTTATACATGTTAAAATAAACATAATCCCCTCTTTTCTTCTGCTACTACAAATACAATATACCAGTGTACATGTCCCCATGAAAACACGAGGTATATACGGCAAGTGACTGATACAGTAATGGCAAGTATAAACAAACTTAAAACAATGCATCCTTGTACTATCGTAAACACGATATATAGTTGCATAGTAACAATACAACATAAGTAATTCTTTCACTTTGGCAAAGTGCAACATAAGAACTTGAGTAGAGTGGAAGAACAAAAGAAGTAGAGAGAGAATGAATGAAATTATGAATTGAAAGACAGGCGAAGAGTAAAGGGTAGAAGGAATGCAGGATTCAAGATGAATGAACAACAAAATACATAGTTGGAATGGCAAAGTACTGGCTGCTTAGTTTGAGTTTATGCAAGATCAAATAAGTTGGGCCTTGGTGGTTCCCACCACCACGTCTACGGAGTACACTCTCTTGGTTTCGTCCTCGGATACGACCTCCCCGCCCTGAAACACTCACTTTGTGGTCGTTTCTGTTATCGCTGTGACCCGGCCAATCATGGCCCTTTCAAGTTCACCGGCTGACATCCAGGCTTCAAGAGAGCTGTCATTGTGGACGTGGTGGAGGTCGGTGATGAATGGGGTCTGCTGATCACATCCTCTTATTATAGGTTTTCCCGGCCTATTTCGTCAAAGCAGCGATCAATTTCACTAACGTGCATTCATGTTTGAGCAAATTTTCTCCACTCGTTGCTCCCCTGTTTCATTTTTAAACTTGTTGCATTCAATTTCGTTTCGAGTTTCGAGTCACCGAATGTTTGAAACATGCACATTCAAATTAACGTTTGGTTCAGTCAATTTGGAAATGCGCAAGCGTCATTCAATTTCGCCAAAGTTAAGTGGGAGGACAATTCTTTTTGGCGAATTGCGTTTTCATTTTCGTCCATGGGCAACCTCTTTCGCAATCGGGTCATTCAAATTAAAACAAGACCTCATCAATATTGTATGAGGCTCGATGTTTATTCGGATATTCACGTTTTCATGTTCATTTATTTATTCTTTTTCTCTATGATCTTTTCTGACATGATTTCACATTATACAAGCTCCTTATTTGTCTGATATATTTATATTGCTTTCAATATTTTCTTTCTTTCGATCTTTATTTCTTAATGAAACATTTCTTTAAACAGTCATGTCTTCATATTTTTTTAAATTATAAATGAGGTTATTTGTAAATGTTATTTTGTAATCAATCCTGATTGAGTAGGACATCTATATTTATTTTCATTTTATATCTTTTTATTTATTCATCATTGTATTTTGTTCCCATCATGTCCATGTCTAAAGCTCAACTCTACCGCTGTCCAGGATCTGTGTATGTATAGCTTGTGCTTAGAAGAGAAGTCACAACTTGTGCACCTTCTCTGGGGACAATTAACTGTGTAATGGCAGATATCTGCTAACGAATGCGCATAATGATTCCTATAAGTAAACTTCGCATTAAATTATTCAAACAGAAGTATATTAAGTGACAAATTAACATCAAATGAAAAGCAATGCACAAATGTTACATATGGATGCCTAATCACGAATTTGACTGCACGAATACATACCACCGTCTGTCCGGCACGAATTTGAATGCTCTTTGCATGCTTTTCTAAATTGAATGCTCATTTTGCACGTCTCCGTGACAAGAGTATGAAATCGCATGCTACTAAATCAAATTGAACGACGCAAATAGCTTTTTGAATGTTGATCTACATAGTCATTCAATTTCGCACGAACTTGAATGAACGTAACGTTAATTCGGATGCTAAGTTTACGAAGTTGGGCGGGAAAACCTATATTACCATGTGATATTTCCTCAGTTTTTGTTCTTGAATCAATTTTGTCTGTCCGCAAAAATATGTAGAGGAGCTAGTCTCCTCTACACTAACTAGGTTGCCCGGCAAAATATTGTTCATCTCCAGGGCAGAGATGTCCTTCCCTACTTTTATTTTTTGGGGATCGGAGGTGGCTGATTCCCCAGAATCGTCGGATTCGGAGTCTGACGATTCCTCCTCCATCTGCCGAATCATGCTTAGCACTTTACCTTTCGGCTCAGCTACCGCGTCCACCGCTCCCTGCGTCGATGGGGAGACGCGGATCTCAATAGCATCGATCCCGGAGCTGGCGGGTGTAGTCAGCGTCACATTCGTAGGTTTCACTTCCTTTGTACAGTGCCTCGACAATCCCTCCTTATACTTCCTTTCCCTGGCAACATCTCTCTGCCTTTCCCTCGACACATCCCTCTGCCTTTTCCTCGACACATCCCTCTGCCTTTTCCTTGTGACCTCTCTTTGCCTTCCTCTGGAAACATCTCTCTGTCCCTCTTGGCACCTGTCTCTTGGCCTCTCTCTCTCCTGGTCATGCCACATTCTGCGATGGGTATTTAAATTGTCCCTGTGGCTATATTCCTTTCCACAGATATCACAGGAATAGGACCGATTACGGTGAACATCCGTTATGTGGCGATTTAGACTCCTCCTATGCGAGAAGAACTCCCCACAGGTATAGCACTTCAAGTTGTTCTCGTTAGCCATTCGATCCCTCATCTTGAAATTCTACATAAAAGAGACACAAACAGCAGATAGATTGGTTTAGTTGCAGATCCAAATATGTTACACCTTACATAACAATCAGTGCTTATGTTGCATATCTACTAGGGAGATTCCTATTTCTAGGAGGATTTCTAGGAGCTGGGACAGGAAGCTTTCTTGGTGCTGGTTCAGGGGGTTCAACATGGTTTGTAGCTTCCTCATCGCCGTGGTCAACCTCCTCCTCTATGTCTCGAGCATCCTGAGCATCATTGCTCTGATTTGCATTGGTCTCTAGCCAAGACTGAAGTGGTACCCCTTGGTAGGGTTTCAACCTGTCTACATGCACTACCTTCAGTTTGCCATTTTTCTTCCCCTGTATCCGACAAGTGACGTCAGACAATTTCAGAACAAAGAGATAAGGCCCTTCCCATTTTCTTTGAAGCTTTGGGGAGTTTTCTTTGGTCTTTGCCTTGTTGTGGAGCCAAACAAACTCTCCCTCTACCATAGGATTACCTTCTGCCTTCGCATCATAGGTCTTCTTTTGGCGCCGGGCACTTTCCGCGAAGTTGCCTCGGGCTCTCTGGTGTGCTGCTCGCATTCGTTGCCTCAGGGCAAACGCATAATCCGTCTTCACATCGATCACCCTCTTCACCCTCGTCACCCTTCAAGGCCTCTGTCGTCAGGTCAATTGGTAGATGCAGCTCCCGCCCTAACATGAGCATGTTAGGCGTTTCTCTGGTGGAGTCTTGGGGAGCACTGCGATAGGCAAACAATGCAATTGCCAATTTCTCGTCCCAATCCCTTTGTCGCTTATGTGGTTCTATCATCATTGAGATCATGTTCAACAGAGTGCCATTAAACCTCTCAATGAGTCCATCCGACTTGGGGTTGTATGGGGTGGTACGGGTCTTGTGAATGCCGAGGACGCGGCACATCTCCTGAAAGACGCACGACTCAAAATTTCGGCCCTGATCCGAATGTAGTACTGTAGGCACACCAAACCTGCAGACAAATTCGTTGACCAACTTGTCTGCAACCGTTACAGCCGTTTGATCTGGTATCGGGTAGGCTTCCATCCACTTGGTAAAGTAGTCCCCCACTACCAAAATGTACTTGTTTCCTCTTTCCGTCTCTGGAAGAGGACCTACCACGTCCAGAGCTACCCTCTCCATGGGCATTCCAACACAATCCTGCTGTAAGGGGGCTTTCCGTTTCTTCGTCGGTGACTTCTTTGAGGCGCAAACATCGTACTGCCGAACTATCGAGCGGATGTCAGCATCCATTCCTACCCAATAGAACCTCATGCGAACTTTATTTCTGGTTTTGTTCATGCCCAGGTCCACTAGACTTGCCACCATGCAATTCCTTCACAACCATCTCTTGAAGCTTCGCTGGTAAGACAACATGCCATGTTATCCTCTGGCATCGGTCACATTCCCATTTCCTGTAGAGAACGCCTTGCTTCAGTTCCAACTGTGCCCACATCCTCCAATAGGACTTCTCCACTTTGGACTTTGAAGCCATTGTTGACCAATCCGGCCGGTCCGCTGACTGCTGCTTTGCTTCCAGGACCCACTTGATTGAAGGATCTTTGCGCCTGTCTTGGCTCATCTGCTCATTACTGATGCTGGGTTCTATCGTAACCGCTCTTGCCTCCGCTTCGCTATCTCGGGGTACCTCCACTTCCGGTGCTATTTGTCCATCAGCGATTTCCGACTTCTCGAAATTCCGCTTACACTGAGGACAAGGTCGTCTTGAAAGGCCATCTGCATTGGCCTGTGATTGTCCAGCACGGAGCACGATTTTGAAATCGTACTCTGCTATTACTTGCAACCATCTAGCCATCTGTCCCTGCAGATCTCGGAAATTCAAGAGCCAACGGAGTGCCCCATGATCAGTCCTAACCGTGAATTTCTGACCATACAAGTACTGTCGGAACTGCTTCAGAAATACCACCACGGCCAATAACTCTTTCCTAGTGACGCAGTAATTCTTCTCTGCTTTATGCAGCGCCCTGCTAGCATAGGATATGACTCGCTCCTTCCCGTCAACCACTTGAGACAAGACAGCTCCAATCCCTCTTGTTGCTAGCGTCTGTATCCAATATGTACGCCTCTTTTGGGTCGGGGTATGCCAAGATTGGTGACTCCTGCAGTCGCTTCTTAAGTTCTTGGAAGGCATCTTCACACTCTTCTGTCCAGGAGAATGTCTGGCCTTTCCTGGTTAGCCGATGTAATGGGCGGGCAATGTTGGCGAATCCTGCGATAAACCTTCGGTAGTAGGAAGCGAGTCCTAAAAAACTCTGGACTTCCTTGACACTTGTAGGGACTGGCCAATCCCTCACCGCTAGGATCTTTTCCGGGTCTGTAGAGATGCCTTCCCCAGACACCACATGTCCCAAATACAGAACACTCTCCCGGAACAAGTGGCATTTCCTGGGCTTCAGCTTCAGACCTGCCTGCCGGAAGCGCTGGAAAACCATGCCAAGCCGAGCCAGCTCATCTGCAATTGTCTTTGCAAATACTATTACATCATCCAGGTACACCAAGAGTACTTCCCAATGCAGACCTCTAAGGACCCGTTCCATCAGTCTTTCAAACGTAGAGGGAGCATTACATAAGCCAAAAGGCATCACCTTCCAACTATACAGTCCTCCCCTCACCACAAAGGCCGATTTCTTCTTGGCTTCTTCTTCCAACTCCACTTGCCAATATCCTGAGGCCAGGTCCAGAGTTGAGAACCATCTGGCGCCTCCAAGTGTATCCAGCGAATCATCGATGCAAGGAATCGGATATCCATCCTTGATTGTCAAGTTGTTCAATTTTCGATAGTCAACACAAAATCTCTTTGACCCATCCTTCTTCTTTACAAGTACGACATTAGATGACCACGGACTGTCCGAAGGCTCTATTCGGTCATCCGCGAGCATGTTCTGAATCTGTCGATCAATTTCCTCTTGTTCCTTGGGCGGGAATCTACGGGGCCTCTCCCGAATCGGGGGACTATCTCCCGTGTTGATCTGATGTTTTACAAAGTCTGTCTTTCCAATGTCTGTGTCGGATGTTGCGAAAATATCCTGATTTTCGCACAACAACTTGGCAATTTGCTCATGGAACTTCTCATCGATTCCTTCCGTACTCCTCTCAAAAAGATCTTTGAGATGTTCAGGGACTACATAGCTTCCTTCTGCAGGTAGTGTGTTGCCTCTGCACTCTTCTATATCTTCCTCACTGATGACAGAAAGATGCCCTGCTAATGTACCCTTGCGGATCATGCATGCCTTGGTTCCTGGATTGAAGACTCGAATAGGTAGGGTTGCTGTTGTGGTTTCTACGACCACCCGTGCGACAGCAATTCCCTTATTGAGGAGTTCACCGTTCACCGGTGGTTCTATGAGGGCAAATCCTGTCCCAATTGGTGCTCCTGTAGCGTGACCTGGAAGCACAACTTCCTGACCAGGTGGTACACTGACGGTTTTCCCCACCACAACCCTGGAGCAAAAGGCACCTCCTCGTACATCAGTACATTTGATTCTCTCTCCCATGATCCGGAGTTCCTTGGCCTTAAAATCAAGAACTGCCCCATTTGGAACTAGTATGTCCAATCCTAAGAGCCCAGCATCTTGAGCGCATTACGTCATCAATGGATCTCTAGATCTGTCAGATGGTCGATGACGTCACCCGGCGATCACCCGACAATCCTCGCACAGGGACAATAATAGATCTTCTATTTACTAATCGCCCGCATTTGGTTTTGGATGTGTGCACTCAAGCAAATCCAGTAACGAGCGACCACCATGCGATCTGTTTTAAGGTCAAGTTGAAAAAGATGTCTCCGCCAAAACAAATTTTGCGTGACTATCTACAATATAACAAGGCTGACACAGAACATTTCAATAACATACTGTATTATGCTCCTTGGGATTTATTTATGGATACTGATAATATTGATAATTCTTGGGATGGTTTTATGGATATTTTTGATGCAGCGGTTCGTGATTGTATTCCCCGCAAAAAAGCCGCAATAACCGTTTAAGCCCCTGGATAACACTTGACATTAAGAAAATGATCAGTAAGAAAAATAGAATGTTTAAGATATCGAAACAGTTGAATACCAACGATAGTTGGCAGGCGTATAGGGAACTTTGTAACCAAGTGAAAGTATTGATAAACAAGTCGTATTATTCGTATTTGAATGAATTGTTATCAGATAGTGACGATAATAGGAAAAGGTTTTTTGCATTTGTTCGTAGTAAGAGGAAAAACCGTGCTCCCCTTTCAATTGACAACAATGGATTACCCGAACATGAACCGAGCAAGATCGCACAGGTGTTTGCCAATTATTTCAGTACCATGTTCACTCCAAATAGTACTTGTAATGATATTCCCGAACCCAGGTCGGAACACAGTGCATTCGTACCATATTTACAGAATGTCAATATTTCTACATGTGATGTCTCTAAGGTGATACGAAACCTGCGTAATGATAAATCACCTGGTCCGGATAACATAACCCAAACCTCTTGAAAATGTGTTCTGTTCCAATTTCACCCGTTTTATGCAAGTTATTTAATATTTCTTTGTCTCTTGGTCAATTGCCAATGTCTTGGAAACAGGCCAATGTTTCCCCGATACATAAAGCTGGTGATAGCTCCTTACCTAGTAATTATAGACCGATTGCACTGACATCCGTAGTGTGTAAAATCATTGAAAAAGTAATAACGAACGAAATCCAACACCATACAACAGAATATCGTTTACTCAACCCTAATCAACATGGCTTTGTTAAAGGTAAATCGTGCGTCACTCAATTGCTAAACGTTACAAACCGTTGGCTACGTATCTTAGATGTACCATCCCCTCCAAAGATTGATGCGATTTTTCTCGATTTCCAAAAGGCTTTCGATTTAATGCCTCATGATGTATTATTGCAAAAACTTAATTCAAGGTATTTTATTTCAGGATCATTATGGCAATGGATAAGGTCTTTTTGTGTAATAGGGAGCAAAGAGTTATTCACAGAGG